CTTCTCTTCTCTTCTCTTCTCTTCTCTTCTCTTCTCTTCTCTTCTCTCCTCTCCTCTCCTCTCCTCTCCTCTCCTCTCCTCTCCTCTTCCCTTCCCTTCCCTTCTCAGAATAAGGCAAATAATGGTAAATGAAAATGTAGTCAAACTGTTCCTGACAAAATACTCATAGATTTCACCAGCTATCGAACAGAATTTGGTGCCGTTATAAGAGAGCGCATCGCTCAGATCGGCTAGGCAGTAACTAAGAGAAAGAGTCAATGCAACCTGAAACTTAAGGTAATAAAAAGTAATTAGATTGTGTTGCAATTTGCGGTTAAGATTGACAAAAGAGGCGTTTGTGGGCAAGGTTCTAAGTCTTATCACCGTGAAGTAATGGAGGGTAAATAGCAGGGCCGTGCCCAGAGTTAATCCACCTGACAAGCAGACTTACCCAGTTTGCAAATCCTGCATCTTTTCACTCCTTGGAGTGCAATTTATATATTGATTTTCACCGCCGGTCCATGTTTGGAGACACAGCTCCCCACTAAAATAAATACCTTACAAAACTGCACGCTGGGAATGCAATTCTTGATTTTCCCATTAAAAACTTTCGTTGCCCAGATCTCTGAAAATCGAGCGCGCGGCACGAGGTACGTGCGATCTTTAGCATCACAAATATATGGTTTCCCCCCCCCCCCTTCTTTCCCCCCCCCCAGTGGAAAAATGTATGAGTTCCATGCAAGCCGGCACGCAGATGATCAAACTCCGAGGTAGCTCCAAGGGCCTCGTCCGTTTCTATTACCTGGATGAACACAAGTCGTGCATTCGTTGGAGACCCTCGCGAAAAAATGAAAAGGCTAAAAGTAAGTGAAACGTTTCGTGTCGATCCGCCTTGGATTAAGGTCACTGATCAGAATGTGGTGACATGTCTAGCCCATGTATCGTCCATGACATGTCTGGCCTTGTATTATTACTGTTGCGCCCTTGTTGGAGTCTGATTCCGAGGGGGCGATTGAGCAGCTGACAGGGAGTGGGAGTGTGGCTCTGGTGGCTGTGGGAGAAACTGGGGAAGGGCACAGTCCGGCTGGGCCTTCAGAGGAAGACCCAGGGCCACCCCCTCTTCATCCTAGGGCACACATGGAAGAAACGAAGAAGGGAGCAACATGGCTTATGGGAGAGGAAAAGGCTCTGATCCCTTTTATTAGATATAAGAAGGGCGTTTACAACGTGGCTCCCATGGTTCAAAGGCAAAGCCCTGCATTCTAATTCTGACGTTTCCCTCCTTCCCCTCCTCCCTCCCCCTCCCCGCAGTCTCCATAGATTCCATCCAGGAAGTGTGCGAAGGGAAGCAGTCGGAGATCTTCCAGCGCTACGGCGACGGCAGCTTCGACCCCAACTGCTGCTTCACCATCTACTATGGGGACCACATGGAGTCCCTCGACTTGGTCTCCTCCAACGGGGAGGAAGCCCGCATGTGGATCACCGGCCTCAAGTACCTCATGGCCGGGATAAGCGATGAAGACAGTCTGTCCAAACGGCAGAGGACGAGAGACCAGTATCCTTTTAGAATGGCAAGAGCTGGAAGGGACCTTGGAGGTCTTCTAGTCCAACCCCCCCCCTGCTTAGCCAGGAAGCCCTACACTTTTTTAGGGGAAGGGTTCCAGAGCATGTAGGCTAAGTGAAGAGACAGAACAAAATGCCTGAAATGGCATAGGGATTCCTGACTCAGTGGGGGGTTGGACTAGAAGACCTCCAAAGTCCCTTCCAACTCTGTTGTATTGTACTGTTCTATTCTATTCTATTTCCTGTATTCTATTTTATTCTTATTCCTCTATTCTATTCTATTCTATTCTATTCTATTCTATTCTATTCTATTCTATTCTATTCTAT